GAAATGAGACAGTAAAAATAGTGAGTGGACTCTTGTTTCATTTCATTCATTCAATGGCAGTCGTTTAGTTTAGCAGGACAGGGGTCCGGTGGTGTAGGATTTTTTTTTTTTTTTGGGGGGGGGGCATTTTTATTTATGATGTGCATAAATTGACATTGATACTGACATAATCTTGGGAGATATTATAACCATCACCATGGAAAGTAAAAATGCGGATTTTTATATTACCCTGAAGTTTTAGTTTAGCTGTTTAGATAATGGAAATATTCTCAGGTTTTAAAAGTGTGGCCATCGGGGACCAAACATAAAATAAGGAGATTTGCACACTCTTTTTCAGAAATGGATTTAGATTCGCTTATTCAAAGTGTTGTATCAAAAATTCTTTTAAAGAGTGGAAAGTATTAATGTTGTGGAAGGTTTAAACTCGGATTTTTTTTCGTGGATTTGCTATTTTTATAGCAACTTAATTTCCTTGCGTTTGCTTTCCCTGAATTTATTTTCCTAACATTCTTATTGGGGGTTTCTGGACATATTTAACCTTAATTTCACTCTTCTTTTTGCTTTTTAAATACCGTCCGATTTTGTTATCATTGCTGTCCGATAATATATTATCAGACTGGTAATTATTATTATCGGACGGCTACAGGTAAATTTTTAGACTGCAAGAACAAAGTCATGACGTCACAGCAATGTTTTAACAATATTTATATTCCACTTGTACTTTGCTTATATATTGTAAATTGTAAGTAATGTTTAAGTATACAAAACTTAAAACACTGAAAGGGGGTCAAAAGGTTAAATTACACATTTGTTTGAAATCGTCACAAATGTTCAACGCTGTGAAAGTTCAACATCATAAGTGTAAATAATAAACACACACACCCTCACACACACACAGACGCACACGCAAAGGCCGTTTTAGACAACAATGCTTACATTTTATTCCTGTTTTGAAAGAACATAATCAAGACTATTTATATTTTTGATCTTGGAAACTGACGTGATCTTTCACAAATATTTTTTAGATTTTGTTTTCACGTGTTTACTTAGTGTGCATTAGGTAGTAAAGTTTGACATGAATATCTCAAAAATATAATAGAAGTTATTACATGTAACACTTTCTATTTTTGATACGTATAATTTTGAATTAATACATTTTGCAAAATGCACAAGAGCTCTTATATGCACATACTCCTCTAAGAATGCATTAGGCACTAAACGATATCCGTAAACTATATTTTAATTGCATCTGCTGATATACTCAGTACATTTGTACTTTCATTTAGAAAAAAAGCTGAGCCTTGAAATAACAATAATAATGCAGGGTCTGTTGTGGTTTATGGATCTTAATTTTGACATTTAGCCGCAATTTTAAATTAAACTGACAGCATATAAATGATTGTATTTTTCCAAAAATGCAATTACTGAATATATATTCATTAAAAATGTTTTTAAAAATTAAGAACACAGCTAGGTGTTGCACCCCCTCGAGGCAAGAACGTACATCTGTAACCGGTAATGGCAATGTCTCAATACGAGAGAAAAATTCTCATGAGGGACGTTAATCAAGAAACAAAAATTGGAATATCTAGAGCATACAGTAAAACAACATAATTTATACAATGTTACTATTAAAATAAGGTAAAAAAGTAAAATGACACTAAATTTTAACAGAAATGATACTTGTCATGATTTCATCTTGTTGCCAATTTATGAGATCTCACTCATTCATTAACAAAAATTCATATTTCTCTTGTACTTGCTTATGAATAATTATTTATATTGTAAATAATGTTTAAGTATGCAAAACACAAAACACTGAAAGGGGGTCTAAATGTTAAATTATACAATGTTAAATTGTTTAAAATCGTCACAAATGTTCAACGCCGCGTGAAAGTTCAACGTCATAAGTGAAAATAATAATAATAAAAAAAACAAGCTCACATTGGGCAAAGGCTTATAAAATGATTCTTCAATTAATTGCAACATACTCCAAGGATAATACAATGTATATGATTTTTAAAATATAAATCTCATTTGAAGAAAAGGCAAGGAGTAAAAATTGTAATTATTAGCAATGAATTATTAATGTATGTAGGATAGTCTCATAGCTGCAATGGTATGTGTAAACAAGTTTTCATAACAGGCTAACTCGCTTTACACAATTTGCTTGCATACACCGATTCAGTTATGAGACTATATCTTTCAAAAATAATGGTTCAATACTGAAACGTCATGATATTTCTATGCATTGTTTTGGAATTTCTGAATTATACAACTTTCATTATTTTTCTTTTTTCCTTAAACATCCATTATTGGCTTTTTTAAAAAAAAATGTTCCCATCAACTCATGCCACGGTCAGGATTCCGTATATAGCTTCCTCCTATTCATGGCTACTTGATCATATAAAGAACTACGAACTCTAACTCTTGATTCCCGCCTACATTTTTCATCCATTAAATTATATTTAAGGCAATATGGCCATAAATTTGTTGTTTAATACAAAGAAAAATTCACTGGTAACGTAATTGAAAAATCATCATGATTCTAGCGCTAGGTAGTAAGTTATCATTAATTCCAGCTCTTGGGAAAAAAGGGGGCGCTAGAGATATTTCTATTGAAATCGAACGTTCATTAACATGGCAGAGTATATTCACATCAGAGTTGGGATTTTACTAGTGACCATTGTCTCTCAGACTTCTTGTTTGTAAAAGCCTCAAATATGATAAAATGTTTCTTGTATCTTTTCTTTTGTTTTAAGGAAATAAATAAAACACATATAAATTAATATTAAATACTAATAATAAGTTGTAAATCTCTGATATTGGTGAAAAATAAGCATTTTTCCGTTTTTCGTCTGAAACATATGTTCCCCCAATCGTCGCACAAGACGGCCAAAATGTACGATCCTCTCCCCCGATTCTTGCCGTTGTTGAACGAGGAGAGAGTTCTCCGTAGCTCATCAAAAAATTGACCAATGCGAGTAAAGCATAGTCGGATGATGAACTTTATCGCGACCTTTCAATGTCCAATCACAGTAAAGGAAATATTTCTTGTATACCGTTGACATCAGTTCTTGTATTCAATTGCGATTGAAAAAAACTTGCCACTGATTAGATATGACGTCACATTAGAGAGGCGTTAATATTCAAGATTACGTCAATTACGACACATTTTGTGATCAAGCAGCCACGGGTAGGAGAGATCTTTATATGCGGAGTCCGGGTCGTGGCATGAGACGATGGTTCCTCCCCATGTGAAACACAAAATTCTTTGGTATAAATTTATAAAATGACAGTCCACCTGACGTGTAAAAAGGATTTTTTGTTTCACGGGGGGGGGGGGGTGCAAATTTTAAAAATATTTTCCCGTTTCCGTTAATTTCTATTGTTAAAAACACAAGTTTTACCAAAAGTATAGAGTTACGTATACCTATCTTTGATTTCCAAAATAAGTAATGTTTTTTTTGAAAATCTATGTACATATCTATAAAAATATGAAAAATCATTCGAATGTGTTAACTTTTGAAAATTGACTTGGTGGTATAGGCGGGAGAACAATACAATCGTTCGCAGTTCTTGTCGTAATGTATAGTTATTGACTGGATATGAGGGTAACATCGATTTGTTGAAATTTCGGAACTTTCCTGTGGCCACATCAGACCAAAAAACATGTGTTGCGAGAATATCAGTCTTTAGCTGTTTGGTTTCCTTAAGAATTAACAATAACTTGAAAAGTTCTCTTGGAAATGGACTTAGTTGGGTCACATGGTCAAATCCTGTGAAACATGAAGGGCTTCTTATTAGATTTCATCGTGTACCAACTAAGTTCATTTCCCAGTGAACTTTTAAAATATTGTTTAGCTTTATATTTACATTTGAGGCGAATAAATTCCGAGTAAAATTTCATTTATTACAAGAACAGGACGCCGTTTTGCTACGTGTTGACGCTCAATGACTTAGAAGAATATAGGTTTGGAAAGTTATTAATGCAAAATGAAATTATCTTGTGTTTAATGTGTAGAAAGAAGGATATGTAGATAACGAACAGTATTTAATCTGAAAGTCCATAAAACAATACAAAATTAGAGCAGAGCAAACACGGACCCCCGAAACATCAGAGGTGGGATCAGGTGCCATGGAGGAGTGAGCATCCCCCGCCGACCGGCCACACCCGCCGCGCGCTCCCTGTCATGATCAAGAAACAACGGAAAAAATCCGTCGCCAATTCAGTGTACAAACAATGGACTAACAATTGGTATGAAGAACGTCAGTCAGCATTTGACTCAATGATAAACTGTATTTGCTGACAAGGTCATTGTATTGACCATAGAACTTACAAAATGATGACTTTAAACGAGACTACTGATATTCTTGTTTCGTCAACTTGCTTGTCAATAATTTACCTCGTTTTAGAAATTGTTCATAAGTAGAGCATGCTCTTATGTATCGAATCAACTGAGAAATATAAACCCCATATGCAGGTGATGAAAGCATATTACTGCATAAGTAAGGGAAGTTGACGATTGAAAAGTTAAAGTCATCACGTTTATCATATAGCTTGGTTGTTTGATTACCATTTGTGTCTTTTTGAAGTAAAATATCCAAATACGAAACAGAAGAAAATAATATATGCTGACATTTCGCTAATCTATATACATATGTACACTGTAATTGCAAGATGGTTTGCGGACTGCTCAGGTATCATAAGTAATAGGAGTGGTAACGACCGTTTTATCAAAGCCTATTTGATATTCAAAAAAATCATTTTATATGATTGTTATTGGACATAATGTTCACATTAATTGTATGATCTTGAGGGAATAGTATATTTCTTAACAATTTGCTTGTTTTCCGAACTTTCTTCATGCAATACATTGTTTATTATACCGAAACAAGTAAAGACTTTAAAAAAAAAATAAAGAAAGAAATATTAACTTTAAAATTGGACATCTCTGTCAGATTCATTTCTCATTACACTTTTATTTTTGTGAGATGGATATGTACTACTGTGGGCAGTTTTCGTTCAGCGTAATCATTGTGGGGAAATGCACTATGCATCCGAAGAGGTTAAATAGCATGTCGTCGACAGGGAAATATGAAGTTTTATGGCTCTGTCATGTGATATATCACCATATCTAAGTACTTGGAAACGCTGATATGTTCGCAAGTTCTTTGTAATAATGCTCGTGTTGGTCATTAGTTTGCTCTTGATTTAAAGTTGTATATGCTGAATTTGAAGGATTGGTTGTTGCAACAATCTCTGAATTTCTTGTCAAACTTTCACTGTTTGTTTCAGAACTCTGCATTCTGTCAAAAAGAGATTAGAACTAAAATATATGGAAAACGATTTTTAAAATATTAGATATAGAAATGGATTTGTTTTATATATCCTCATTATTTTTTTTTACTTATTTGATAATGGGATTTTAATTACTCAAAAGCATTAGATATTTTATCGTATTGTCGTTCAGGTAAATCATAAGCTTGCTCTGGATTTAAAGTATAATATTCTGTATTTGAACGACTGGTTGTTGCAACTGGATCTAAATTTCCTGTCAAGTTGTGAATAGTATCGGCAAGACATTGCATTCTGCAAAAGAGTAACTTAACTTCAAAATTTTTAAATAAAATTCTTAAAACAAATATATCGTACTTTGAATGATTAATATTTTAATCGATCTTAATTTAAAAAGAATAATATTGATGGATTTTATGATTATATTTGTAAACAACAAATATGCATTATCCCCTTATACCTTTTATTAGTCTTCATGTTGTGTATAGCTTGCACAATAACGATCACGGTTAATGTAATAACCAATATTCCACATATAATCAATCCAATCAAAAGTCCCTGATTATGGAATGATGCTGAAAAGTGGGAATTTACAATCATTAAATTTATTAATTGAATGATATTTGCATTTATTGTTATATATTTACATTTCCAATGTCTATGTCCGAGATAAAATTACAAATAGTAAATGTACTTTATTTCCCCATCACGTACAGGGCGGGACAAATAGCTAGAGAGAAGCAGGGCGTAGAGCACATGGAAATGGCGGAATCAAAAGCATGTAAATATAAAGAATAACTGTCAGAATTTTTCAATTTCATGACGATGATCAATTGATTGGTAATGAAATTAATTATTATCTATAAATAATATAATATTTATCCATGTAAAAGTGAATTTCTTTGTGCTTTCTTTATTACATGTAATAATACTTCTTTACTTTGTGCAGTTATGTTAGTTTAAGACTTGTTGTAAAATGAGCTTTATAAATAAAATTTAATTTCATTAAAATTGTATTGATAACAATCCCCTGTTAAAACTAATGTCCAAATAATTGTATCTCACTTCTATTCTTAATGACCGTTTAGTGTAGGGCAGCGCTGCGAGAATTCAATCGGCATTGAAAGCAGGTTTTTAGACTTGCCTAGATAGCCGAGTGGTCTAGTGCGCTGTTCCTGTACTGCTAGGAGACGGACTCCGAAAGTCGAGAGTTCAACCCCGGGCTGGAGCGGTAGTGGATATCTATGTAAAAGTGATTTCTCTTTGCGTTCTATATTAATACAGTACCGACCAGACCCAACCTGACACCAAAGCAGTCCCAGAAAGCAGTTCCCGGAACTGCTTTGGGACCGCTCTGGGACTGCTGTGGGACTGCTCTGGGACCGCTGTGGGACTGCTCTGGGACCGCTATGGGACTGCTGTGGGACTGCTATCAAAATCGGTCCCAGCAGTCCCAGCTGCCCCTGGGACTGCTTTTTGGGACTGCTTTGTTCACTCATGTGTGAAAAAGGTTCTGAGTGACAGTGATAGTTCCGCCCCTTGTGTATTCTGAATTAGCAGGCTCCCCGCTGTATTGTTTACTTGCAGTAGAGATGAGTTTAAACTGTTTAATTAGCAAGGATTTCTTACCTTCTCTTTACAAGAAGAGATTATTATAGTTAATTAATATTTTCAAGACTCTATACTTACACAAATTAATGTATAGTTTAGAATAATTAAAAAAAATTAAGTTGTTAAATAAGGAAGTCATGGGGAAATTTTTATCCCTAACAATAAACTGGTTTATTAGAAAGAAAAAAAAAGCTAAATGTGGGCCTTTTTTAATTATTTAATGTAAAATTATTTACTCAACATTTGCATTGGTACTATTTAAAAATAATCATTACAGTTAGATATAAGATTTCTTGATTGAAAAAAGCTACACGTTTTTCAAGGACCATGCTAAAAAAGGAGTATTCAATGTAACCCTCAAATAAAACATAACAATTTATTAAATGACCATTAAATAAAATTATGCTACCATTCTTCCGTAACATAATCAATGTGAATAATCATTGGGGAATTAATGAATAACCGGTAGCTTTTAATTTATAAACAAGTTATTAAAAGAGTACATTTATTAAAAGAAAAAAATTGAAAATACCGGGAATTGTGATTTATTTCTTTTTTTGTTTTGCTGGTGTTTACCCGGCCGATTAATGTTTATTAAGATGTTTCCCCCTAACAATTTTATAGGTTCAAAGTACAAAAACTGCATTCATTTTCATTCAATATACTTTGAATTTTACAATTATTACAAAAAATGTATACGTCACCATATTATTTAAGATGCGAAACATAAATAAATAGAAGTGTATGTCAACATAAAAAATTGCACATTTTTTGCAAACAGTAATATGAAAAATATGTAAAAACTGGTTAAAATGCATAATTCTGATGCTGAATGTTCCTAAATATTTCCTACTTAAAAGATACTTTTGAATTGTGAATATCAGGGAAACTATTTTACAATAAAGCAAATGCCTGAATGAAGAGACCCTAAAAGGAGTTATTGCCCTTGTCAACATTATTTAAAGATTAAATAATTGATTAAAAAATGCATTTTTTAAATTCTTTAGCTTAACAATATTTATCATTGCACCTATTGCAAAGCATTCTTCCAAGAGATATTGTTCTATTAGGTATGCATGTAAACTAATTACAGTTTTTTTCAAAAACCTATGACATCATAGGAGGATGGAATTACCTTAAGTGGTATCAACATCCGTGGTTTCAACGCCTTTGGGCAGAAAATCAAAGGGTGTTATTTGGGTATTTGTATCAGCGTTACACATCATTGAACATACTGGTAAACAATGACCCTAATTTCAGTTTATGCAATGCGAAAAATGTGGTAAATGAAATGTGTATAAATTTCTTTCGGGATTTATTAATTTTGAACATACTTCCATTCTGGCGATTTACAGATGTACACTCTAACATTTATAAATAAAACACTTGAAACTGAGTTTTATAGATCTAGAGAAATTAACGATAATTGAATTGACATGTCAGTAAAAATAATCATGACTGAAAAATAATACTTGGCAAAATTTACAAAGAATTTTTTAAAAGCCACAATACTTTAGAATATTCCTTTAGCGTATCCCGATAGTATGGAAATTGGCCATATTATGATAACATCTATTTAAAGCTTATTATGGTGGAAAATAATTAATTCACATTTTATTTTCTGTATAAAAAAGAAAAATGGGAACCAGTATCAATCAAAGAATAATTATTAAATAAATATACCCGATAATTGTGATTAAATATTCATGTTCGGTGTTATTCATATATGTACATGTACATGTAGGTGTGAAAGCCTTCTTCCTCCAATAAATACAGCTGTATTATAATTTCAATTTCTATGCGCGTATTGTTCACAAATGACCTTCGCATACATGTAAGAATTCCTGGCATACTACCCCGAATCAATTTTTACTGCCTTTTATAGTTCCATTGTTTATTGGAAATCTCATTTCTGAGTTAGCTCCGCCCAGTAAATTAATAAACCCCGCCCACTGGGACTGCTGGGGCTGCTTTCTGGGACTGCTGAGACTGCTCTCTGGGACCGCTGGGACTGCTCTGGGACCGCAGTGGGACTGCTTTAGCAGTCCCAGGAAGCAGTCCCCTGGACTGCTCTGGGACTGCTTTGTGTCAGGTTGGGTCTGGTCGGTACTGTACTTCTTCACTTTGGGCAGTTATGTTAGTTTAGGAGTTATTGTAAAAATGTGCTTTATAAATGATAATTAATTTCATTACAACGTGCATTGATAATAATCCTCTGTTAAAACCAATGTCCAAATAACTGTATTTCACTTCTACTCTTAATGACCCCGTAGTGTAGGGCAGCGCTGCGAGAATTCCATCGGCATCGAAAGCAAGTTTTTAGACTTGCCCTGATAGCAAAGCGGTCTAGCACGCTGTTCCTGTACTGCTAGGAGACAGATTCCGAAGGTCGAGAGTTCAATCCCGGGCTAGGACGGTAGAGGGTATCCATGTAAAAGTTAATTTCTTTGTGCTTTCTATATTAATACTTCTTCACTTAGGGCAGATATGTTAGTTTAAGACTTGATGTAAAATGTGCTTTATAAATAAAATTTAATTTCATTACAACATGTATTGATAACAATCCCCTGTTTTATAAACCAATGTCTAAATAACTGTATCTCACTTCTATTCTCAATGACCATGTAGTGTAGGGCAGCGCTGCGAGTATTCCATCGGCATCGAAAGCAAGTTTTTAGACTTGCCTAGATAGCCGAGGGGTGTGGCGCGCTGTTCTTGTACTGTTAGGAGACAGATTCGGAAGGTCTAGGGTTATGATTTAGTTAATACTTGTATACAAAAATTGGATCAATTGATTTTTCATTTTTATCACATTTTCATGTGAACAAGCTATTTTTGTTAATTATATCACAGTACTAATTGCGTTCAATAAATTGTTATATTTAGATTATAAATGATTAAAATTTTTTAATTCAAAATAATAAACGATAAATTTACGAGTGTCCTCAATATAAAAACTAAAACCGGCGTTAGGTTTCTAACAACGCGTCTTGAGTAGGAATGCATGTATTCATTCTCATAATAAATGTGTATTGTCTCAAAAAGTTTACAAACATTGGAAAAAATCTAATACACCGATTGCAAATCAATGGACAAAATACATCCCGATAAATTAAAGGTTTTAACCATATTAAACCATATTTGTATTGATGGACGCTCTCCGATCGGATGACCGACGTCGCTTTTTCTGTTAATTGTTGAAACATACTTTTTGCGGTTTTCGCTTAATATTTCCATTGTCTATTTTTTAAGCGATACTAAGGGTATAATAAGATGACAATAACAGCTTTATTTACGATACATTTATATAATTGCTATGCTATACTTACGTTGTTGAAAGTTCGCCTCATCAGAAGTAATCCGATCATCTCGACACATACATGTCCCATTTTGAAAGTTTGGGTTTCGTTCAGTAGTACAAGAAACAATTCGATCCAAAGTCTGGTTAATTGTAATGTTGTCTGATCAGAAAAGAATAAAATTAATTAATGTTGTTTAGATTTTGTGTCTTCATAAAGGGCTAAAGGTTATTAAAACATAAAGTATTTCAATAAAATGCCAAATACAGGGGTTACAACACTTTCTAAAAATATTTAAACGTAAATATTCTGATTTACAATTACAAATGCCAGTGTCTTCATTGGATACAATATTACAGTCACTCTCTCTTTTGCAATTCTCTCATCCGAGAGAATAAAAAACACAGAAAAATCATAATATGATTTTTCCAAATACAAAAATTATGATTAGCTTTATCAACTGGACTTTTACATGAATAGATCTATTACACGCAAATGAAACATAATCATGATATAAATGAAAAATTAAAATCATTGAATTTAAAGTAATTTAGGTGCATATTGTTACCGCAACATTTTCGAATTTTCCATTCCAACTACAGAGTCATTACCGCTACAGAAAAGTTACATTACCTCTACATGAACATAGCCCCTTTTGTTAGCAAGCCAATTACGCGTGTACAGATTGATCTAAATTACAATATAAACATGCACTAGACGTGTTTCTCATATTCACCACGGGAAGGTGATAGTAGGACTTTGAGCAGGATGGATTTTTTAAAATTTATTTTATTTCAAGAAACACTTAAAGACCCAATTTTTTACCGTACGGTTACCTGAGGTGGGGGAGTGGTCTAGGTAACAGTAGTGTTATTTACCTGGAGACCCCAAATACCCAAGATGTAAAAAATCTGTGTATACGTAGCATTACACAGGAAGTCTATGTTTCGTAATCAGGGTCAACATTACGTGTTTTGTGTCCAATTTTTAGTGAAACTCCTTAAAATAATTAAATTATTTCTATATAAAGTTATTTGTAAACTAAATGCATTCAGTAATCATTTGAAGGATAAAATTATAAAGAAATATCGTTTCAATTTTTTTGTAAAAAAAAAAATATCAAGTGTAAAACCTAGAAAGCAACCAGTTCTACATAATATTTTTTTAATCTTCAGTAAAATTAATCTCCATGATTAAAAAAAGGTATACATATGTTGAAATTAAAAAAAAATTCCATTCATCCGTCGCGTGAACATTTACCGCGATCGGAAGATTTTTTTTAATTTTTCTGGTCAACAATGTTTTCCATATTATTCAATATTTCCGAGGGTGTGTGTGTTAACTAACTTTTATTATTTGAAAGATATATTTTTAGGGTCGATCTCTCTTCGTTATCTTCACCTTTTCATTACGAGTATTGACGGACGATAGAGGAAATTCGAGCAATATAATTCTGACATTTCTTTATAACCAGAGACGTCTAGACCTCTGTTAACAACATCGTGTAAATTCAATCCATTATACAAAGATAAAACATCTTTTGTAAACCATGATGCTAGTGCTGAATATTTTTACTTATTTATATATACATGTTATTGTTCTTTTTTTCATTATTTTTTTTTAATCGGTAGTCTTCCATTTGCGGTAAGTAGAGTTCCTGTGGACGGCCAAAATATTTCTAGAGATATCTCGGACGACATGTCACTTACAAGTACCAAACAGTTGTGAGGATTAACTAATATTTTATGAAATCTATGTTTTGATTATCTTATCTTAATTATTTTTTGAAATAAAATCCTTACTGGTTTTTGTAACCCGCGTGTATCAGCTGTGTGCACAAGGCGGGTACATGAAAGTGTTTGATGCGTGACCAGGCAATCGTTTTCAAAACATTCAAATTCAGTTTATCAGGAAGCACAGGTAGCTGGCCTGTCAATCAAATCAGGAGCTATTGTTTTTTAATGATTGACAGACGGTAAATTACAGATCTTGAGTCAGGTTATTTTTGGGGGCGTTAACATAAAATTGGGTGCTTAAGAAAAATCTACATCTAGCACTACTAACAGATAAAACACAGTCTCCACAGTCTTTATACAATTGGGAATGACATTTGAATGATGTAGTACGGTATTTCAATTTCGCCAATTTCATTTTTTGATTTTGGTTTCTTTTTGGAGGCGGTGTTGTTATTCCGTATCATACCTGGCTGATATGTAGCAGGAATAAGTTGTTTTCGGAAAGTCATATTTAAAAAAAAAATAGCGGTAATGATCGGCGGAGCATTTGGAAAATGTAGCGGTAATGAGATAAATTTATGGCAATGTTTTGAATATTTTTAATATCCAAAAACGAATTTAAACTACCATATGTAATTATTGTATTTCAAGACTTCATAAGAATCCTTACAAACAAAGATACAAAGTGGGATCCTGTAAATATTCTACCATGCCTGTTTCTTAACTTTTCAGAAAGATATTTACAGTAGTGAAGGAGGAACTTTAAGAGTACTGTACAACAATATAGCCGAGAAATAGTGTAAGTCAGATGTGGATACTTAGAAATTCGAAGGGACTTTCTAAATTAAATATCAAGGAATAAGATGTTTATAATAATTTGTGTATTAATGGTCTTACACAAGGAAATGTCCAATTTAAATGAAGTCAGTCAAATGTAGTTCTATATTTAGGTAGACAATTTCTTTTTCTTTTTTTCATTTTCGGCAACGTATTTAATGTACCACCCTATCATACGTTTGATTTATAATTTTTGGGTCAGATATTTTGTCAAGTAATATTTTTTGCCCGGTCGTAGGATTTTCTATGGTCAAAATTTAAAATAATAGGAGATTATAGATGAATGAATAAAATATAACCATATTGATTTCATGGAAAAAGAACGAAAATTTTAATTATAATGCCTGCCCGTGTGTCTGTCTGTAAAATTAAAGGTTTTTCGTAAGTATTTTTATCTTAACTTTGAAAGTTTAATGCAAATGTACGTGATACTCTTTTTGTAATAATCACGTAGTATTTAGTACAGAAAATAAAAAAAAATAATGAAAAAAGAACACCACCTATCACAAAAAACGGAATATGACTAACTTTGGCATATATTCGTTTAGATGAACATTTATGATATCCAAAGAACTTGTTCGACTCTTTCTCCCTCTCTCTCTCCCCATCTCTCTCTCTCTCATCCTCTCTCTAGCACTTTAGTTAATCCAATGAATAACCAACCGCATATTTAAAGTCCTATTTCTTTCATTTCTCCATCCGTAGAAATAGGCAATTTTTTATCATTGAATGATGTTTATGATTTAAAAAAAATATTGATAATCTGATGAACTTTCGAATAAGTGTTAACGCTTAAATTCAGGGGTTTACATTGTAAGGATTTAGGGATTTAGAAAGATTTTGAACAAGCATTGATGATAAAGTTGCAATTCCTGGAAAAGGAAGAAGAGTTTATATTTATGGCGCAATGCATTTGCTAGAAATCTAATTTCTATTCATTAAATTACATGCTTATCTTTGTTCCTAATTTTCAAGAATATTTTCCAGAATATGTTTTATTTGAAAAACTTTGTAAAAGAGTTAAAAGTAATGAGAGCCGATCCTTTAAAAGGATACTTTATAGGTTGGTAGATAATAATTTGAACAGTGTAAAATGTTATCACGTCGCAGTATCCACATTTAATGCATGTCGTGCATGGCTTTTTTTATCTAATGACTAAAACATTTATATCTTTGATTTTAAAGAAAAAGGATGATTGCCTAAAAGTCTGTTGTTTCATCAGAAGTTCTGAAAAGAGTGTTAGAAACACCTTGGTGTTCCTGTGGTTGGTGTAAGATATCATTTTATATGAATATTAGATTTCTTCTGTCTTCGTTGCAATTTGTAAAAAAAAATAATATTTAACAAACAATTCATCAGGCAAAATGATTATTCTTTCTCAAAAGGGAAAAATGTTGAAAAAGCTTTCTTAAAACAGAACATTCCATCATTGTCTTTCATTGCAAAAACTTTGGTGGATTGCTTAAATTTATGGTTCTGTTTGATTCATGTTTTTTTTAAAAGAAAACCCACAGTACTAAGAACCTTGTTGACACAATATGATACTCCTGCTCATAAAGAAGTATAAAAGTAGAGTTCAATTTTTGGCAGCACGTTAACGAGGAAATGTGTAAACAAAATGTGTATCACTTAGTTTGATTTATTAAAGTCTATGTTTTTGCCATGTATATAGAAAACAATAAATATTTTTTTTTACCAAAAGAAACATGAAATATTTTCTGTAAATTAAAGGGAAGTCCTTCAGATGAAATACTAAAATCCCTCTATTTCTGTTTCATATAATTTAGTTTTGCGTCAATCTGTACTGCTTATGATGTGTAACACAATTGATATCCACAGCCATGCTTACTTACTTAGATAACCACAGCCGAGTATTAGTGCTTTAATTAAATAAGACAAGCAAGTGTTTATAGGGCAGAATAATCCCTATGCTTGTCGTAAGATATGTGTATTATATATAGTGCTTATAGGGCATGATAATCTTAAGGCTTATCTAAAGATTCCTTATTATAAATGATATTTACGATGTATACCTTTTATGTATTCACAATTGTTCTCTTAAATAAGTTTATAGGTCTGTACTGTACATAGTAAAGTAAAAATGTTAGATAATAATTTAATCGTCAAATCGGGGACTATTGCAAAATGACTTTCTCATATAATTCTTGGAGGAATTAAAACACTTTCTATCTTCACAATGGAAACAAGAAGAATGAACCAAATAAATATATTTTCGTTGATGTGTGTTTCCAATTATTAGGAGATAAAAGTCAAAACAATGGACAAACAACTCCAAACAATGGACAAACTGCTTTGGTATAAAAGGGAAGAACCGGGAGAGCTTAGAGAGACGGCTACTGAGATACCAAGAAAGTTACTGGACCTAGTATATTGTTCCCCTGAACTGGACTAGACACTTGAGATAGATTTTTACGGAAATTCAGAACTTTTAACTTTTAAAAGACTTTAATTTTAATCCCGGACTGTTAACTTTGAGAAGACTTTAATTTTGATTCTACAAACTTTGTTTAAAAACTATACGATCACTGTTGTTTTGATGACTATATAAAA